CTGGAAGGATAGGTTGGAGTCCAGAATGACACCAAGTACTCTGGCCTGCAGAGCGGGTTTGATATTGGCGTTGTTGGATGTGATGTAGAAGTCAATGGGGGGTAGGGTTCGGGCTGGGGGGAAGACAAGGAGCTCGGTTTTGGAGAGATTCAGTTTAAGGAAGTGGAGCGACATCCAATCTGATATGTCGCTCAGTAGGTGTGTGATTTGGGCAGAGACCGAGGGGGTGAGGTGGGGGGTTGAGAGATAGATTTGTGGTGTGTCGTCGGCATAGAGCTGGTAGTTGAAGCCGTGAGAGTGTATGAGTTGGCCAAGGGAGGAGGTGTAGATGGAGAAGAGAAGGGGCCCAAGGACAGAGCCTTGAGGGACCCCAACAGAGAGGGGGGAGTGAGGGGGGGTGTGGTAGCATTATAGGTAACGCTGAAAGAGCGTTGTGACAGGTAGGATGAGAGCCAGGAGAGAGCAGAATCTCTGAGGCCGAGGGAGTGTAGTATTTTGAGGAGGAGGGGGTGGTCAACTGTGTCGAAGGCCGCAGAGAGGTCAAGGAGTAGGAGCACTGAATAGTGGCCATTAGCTTTGGCGGTTAGGTCGTTGGAGAGTTTGAGTAAGGCGGTTTCGGTGGAGTGTAGGGGGCGGAAGCCAGACTGTAGGGGATCGAGGAGGTTGTTTGTTGTTGAGGTGAGAGCATAGGCGGGTGTAGACGAGGCGCTCGGGAGTTTAGATGTAAGTGGGAGCAGGGAGATGGGTCTGAGGTTGTTCGGGTCATTGGGGTCCAGGGAGGGCTTTTTAAGTATGGGGGTGATGTGTGCATGCTTCAGTGGGGAGGGGAAAGTGCCGGAGGAGAGGGAGAGATTAAAGATGTGGGTGAGGGAGCGTAGGATGGAGGGGGAGGGAGGTTGTAGGAATTGTGAGGGGATAGGGTCGAGGGGGCAGGTGTGGTGAGGCGGGCATCAGAGAGGATCTTGGAGACTTCCTCGATGGTAGTAAGGTCAAAGGTGTGGAGTGTTGGGGGAGCTTCAGTATGAGGAATGTAGGGTGGGGTGGGAGTGGAGGTCAGAGCAGTGGTGGGGCCGTGGGAGAGGGGTGATGAGGGGGTAGCTGAGTGAGGGGGAACGGGGTTGGAGGGAGTTTGAGCAGTGACGAAGTCCCTGCGGGTAATGTCGAGGGGGAGGGGGGATGAGGAGGTAGCTGTGTGAGAGGGGACGGGTTGAGAGGGGGTGTGAGTTGCGGCAATGTCCTTGCGAATTGTGTCAATCTTGTTTTTGAAGTGATTGGCAATCTCAAGGGCGGTGAGTGAGGTGCTGGGTGGAGGTGGGGGTGGAGAGAGTAGAGAGTTGAAGGTGGAGAAGAGTCGGCGAGGATTGGAGGAGAGGGCCTTGATGAGGGTCAGGAAGTAGGCTTGTTTGGCTGCGTGGAGGGAGGAGGTGTAGGTGCGGAAGGCAGATTTGTAGCAGGTGAAAGCTTATTGGGATTTTGTTTTGCGCCATAGTCGCTCCAGGGCACGACTGCGTCGTTTGAGGGTTTTGGTGTGATCAGTCTGCCAGGGCTGGAGCGGTCGGAGTCTGATGTTGCGTGTGGTTAAAGGCGCTAGTGAGTCAAGGGCTGCTGACAGCGCGTTATTGTAGGCAGTCATAGCCAAGTCGGGGCAGGACAGGGGGAGGATGCGGTCGTGGAGTTGATCAGCTGCAGAGTGGAGGGGGGCAGGGTTAAGGTTGCGGAGGTTACGGCTGGTAGTAGTGTGACATTTGGAGGGGTAGGCGTTGGAGGACGAGGAGATAGAGAAGGTGATCAGGTTGTGGTCAGAGAGAGGGAAGGGGGTGTTAGTGAGGTTGTGGGGAGCGCAGCGGTTGGAGAAGACAAGATCAAGGATATTACCGTCGGAGTGGGTGGTGGATTGTATGCACTGTGCAAGTGCAAAGGAGGAGGTTAAGTGGAGGAGACGGGCTGTGTCTGGGTTATCAAGGTTGACAGGGATGTTGAAATCCCCAAGAATGATGGTGGGTAGCTCAGAGGAGAGGAAGAAGGGTAGCCAGGAGGAGAAAGTCATCCAGGAAGCGGGGTATGGATCCAGGAGGCCGGTATATCACAGCAATCTTCTGGGGGGTTGAGGAGAATAATCGGACGCAGTGGGCCTCGAAGGAGGAGAAGGATAGGGAGGGGGGGTTGGGAGGACTCGGAAGGTGCTCTGCGGTGACAGGAGCAGACCAACCCCACCACCTTTACGACCGTTAGGTCTGGGTGAGTGGGTCCAGGTGAGACCTCCATAGGAGAGTGCAGCAGGGGAGGTAGAGTCAGTGGGCTGGATCCAGGTTTCCGTGATCGCCAGGAGGTTGAGGGAGCTGGAAACAAAGAGGTCGTGGATGGCGGTAAGCTTGTTGCACACCGATCGGGCGTTCAGGAGTGCACATGAAAACGGGGGGGAGATTTTAGGGAGCAGGGGGACAGATACTAGGTTGCGGGGGTTGCGGTAGGACATGGAGGCGGGAGGGTGTTGTGCGGGTGAGGGAGGTGGTGGAGGGCCAGGATTCGGGGAGATGTCTCCCGCGGCTAGGAGGAGGAGAAGAATGAGAAAGGTGGCATGGGAGCGGGATGTGCAGGAGCGTGAGAAACTCCTAGTGGAGGTGTTCGGGTCAGTGGGAGAGTGGAATAATAGGAGGAGGTGGTGGGTGCCATAGAGGGGCGAAGGAAGCAGTGAGGACACAATATACAAATGTTTAGGAGGAGCAGAGGGATATAGTGAATGGATTTTGGGAATGGAGGAGAGGAAAATGAGGAGGAGTAGAAGAGGCATTTTGGGGGGTGATGAGAGCAGTAGTAGGGAGATGATAGCAATGAGGGGGAGATGTGCAAGTTTTGGGGTGGAGCAGAGGGGTAAAGAAATGAGATTTGGGAACAGAGGATAGTAGTATGAAGAGGAGTGTATTATATAAAGGTACACAGAGTGGGACTCAGGCATGTAAGAGATGTTTCCCAGGGTGTTTGCTTGCAGTCTGTCCAGCATGCAGTAGAGTTTCTTGCTGTTGTTGTGTCTTTCTGCTGCTCAAGTTCAACTGCTGTGTTTAACTGCTTCGCACTCTTTCGAAGCCGCACCCCCATCAGAGATCTCCCCCCATGAGCTGATCTAAATTTATAGGGAGATGCTCAAATGAGCATTCAACTCCACCCCAATTAGAAGCTGATAAGGCTCACATGAATAGTGGGGGATGTCTCATAGGAACCAGGCTACAGTCGTAAACTGGGTGCAACTGGAGGTGAGGACTGCTCAACATACACACAAATATAAATACACCATTTGTTCTGAATATAACAGGAGTGAAAGCGATATTGAGTTAGGAGTGGAGGTAGGAGAGATGCATTTACCCAGGGGGAAAACAGCAGGAGTCAATGCGTTTGAGTTAGGAGTGGAGGTAGGAGAGATGCATTTACCTGTGAAAGTAGAGAAGGCATAATTAGATTGATAAAGATGAAACGAGGGTGGACATTTCAGCAAGACAATGATCCCAAACACAAAGCCAAGGAAACTTTCAATTAGTCCAAAAGAGAAGAAATAAAACTGCTAGAATGGTCCATCCAATCACCTGACCTGAATCCAATAGAAAATCTATGGAAAGAACTTCCAGTTCATAGAGGCCCACAGAACCTTCAAGATTTGAAGACTGTGTGGAAGAATGGGCCAAAATCACACCTGACCAATGCATGTGACTGGTTTCTCCATACAGGAGGCGTCCTGAAGCTGTCATTACCAACAAAGGATTTTGTATGAAGTATTATTGACGTGAAATTTTCACATTGTGAACACACTAACTGAAATGTATTTAATACCTTTTTAGAAATATATTTACTGAGAAAAATGGTGATGTGTTCAATACTTATTTTACTCACTGTATAAAAAAAGAGCCTATTTCAGCGGTTAGTTGTAATTTTTCTTGGCAAAGAGCAAACAGAGGGAGTGTATGGGAAAGAGCCGACAACTACACAAGGTGACTACGGTTTCCATAACCTGGGCCCTAGGTTAACCATTTGCCTACCCGGCACTTATACCCCCTTCTTTACCAGGCCAATTTTCAGCTTTCAGCGCTGTTGCACTTTGAATGACAATTGCGCGGTTGTGCAACACTGTACCCATATGAAATTTTTATCATTTTTTTTTTCTCATAAATAGAGCTTTCTTTTGGTGGTATTTACTCCCTGCTGGGTTTTTTTTTTACTTTTTGCGCTATAAACAAAGAAAGTGCAAAAAATTTGAAAAAAAAAAAAAAAAAGTTTCTTTGTTTCTATTATAAAATTTTGCAAACAGGTAATTTTTCTCCTTCACTGATGTGTGTTGATGAGGTAGCACTGTTGATGGGTACTGATAGGCAGCACTGATGATGGGTACTGATAGGCGGCACTGACTGGCGGCACTGCTGGGCACTGACTGGCACAACTGTTGAGCACTGACTGGCACAATTGCTGGGCACTGACTGGCGGCACTGCTGGGCTGCACTGCTGGGCACTGGTGGGTGGCTCTGCTGGGCACAGGTGGGCGGAGCTGGTGGGCGGCACTGCTGGGCACAGGTGGGCAGAACTGCTGGGCACCGATCATCAGGGCACTGATGATCGGTGCCGATCCCTGCTCTGACAACTACTGGTACTTTCCTCATGCTCTGACAGCGAGAGGAAAGTGCAGCCGAGAACCGGCAATTGCATTTCCCGGTGATCACGTGGTAAAAGGCTGCTGTGATTGGCCTTTTACCACATCACGTGATCAGCTGTGTCCGTAGGACACAACGATTATGGAGATTGCCGGGGGCACGCAGGAGAGCGCGTCCTGGGAGGACATCATATGATGCCTTTCCAGAACTGGCCGGCCGCAGTGTAGCCGTCATTTGGCTATCTGCGGTCGGCAACTGGTTAAAATAAAAAATAAATACACACACACATACACTTTTTCAGCCATTTTACTTCTTCTACCAAATCTATTTGTTTTACTCCATTTTGTATTTTTCTTTCTTTCTTAGCGGATGCTGATGCTTTTAGGATTCTCTGGGAAATGAAAATGAAGAAAAGACAGAAATGTCCATCACTTCCAGAAACCGTGACAGAACTTGGCACAGAGGATGGAAGTAAAGTGTACATTGTAGGCACTGCTCACTTTAGTGACAGCAGCAAACAAGATGTGGTAAAGGTACTAATCAAGCCAGCTTTAACATTGCTGTCCCTTGTGTATATTTATCAGGACCATATTGCAATTAACATTTTAGAAACAGACATTTGATTAATCAGAAGTATACACATGTTATTGTTAAGATTGAATTGTACAGGAGATTGTGTGAAATGTGTTGGTTTCCTCACACTTTAGATGTTACTAGACAAAGGCTTACTTTTCTCTTTCAGACCATTCAGGAAGTACAGCCTGATGTTGTTGTGGTTGAGCTATGCCAGTATAGAGTATCCATGCTGAAGATGGATGAAGAGACCTTATTGAAAGAAGCCAAAGAAATTAATTTTGAGAAGCTTCACCAAGCTATTAAACAGGTATCCTTTGTTTTGCTTACTCTGCCTTTTGTTATAGTATTTGAGTTTGATCTTCAGTCCCTATACAAGGCCATGTACTGTATATCTCAAAATGTTTCTAAGCGATGTCTGAAACCCCATGTGCTCTCGCTTAACCACTTGACCTCTGGAAGGTTTTTGCCGCATTCATGCCCCGTGCATTTGTTTGCTATTCAGCACTTCACTACTTTTATTGGCAATTGCATGGTTATGCAGCAGTGTTTTATATATGTTTTTTTTTTTTTTTTTCACAGAAAGAGTTTTCTTTTGGTGGTATTTGATTATCACTCTTTTTATTTTGTTTTGTTTCTTTAACTGCTCCCTGACCACCCTATAGCAGATATACTGCTACAGGGTGGCAAGTGTGTGTGATTTTTGTATTGCTGGGCAGGGGGCGCGTGTGCCCTACCCACGCTGCCATTTGCGGCTGTCAATCACCCGGTCCCGGCTGGTAATTACTCGCCGGCGCCTGGTGATTGCCGAGCATCTCCAACGGGGAGAAGAACTGTTTTATAACAAAACCAGTTCTCCTCCCTGTCAGCTAGTGCACTGCTTTGCATGGCTGTGCACAGCACAGCCATGCAAAGCAGTGTGATTTACAGTGAAGCACAAACACATGGCCCCATAGTAAAAAACACACCCAGCACACAGTTAAGCCTTTGATCATCCCTCATGTTAACCCCCTTCCTGCCCAGTGCAGTGCACAGTGCTTTTTATTAACAGTGATCACTGTATTGGTGTCACTGGGGATGTCAGTGACACCAAGACGGTTCCACCCAGTGTAAGACTGCCCGCTAGAGTCCCGCTATAAGTCGCTGATCGCTGCCATTACTAGTAAAAATTAAAAAATTCCATTATCTATATCACCATTTGTAAACACTATTGCTTTCTCGTAAACCAATTAATTTACACATATTGGGATTTTTTTTTCTTTTTTTTTTTTTTTTTTTTTTTTTTTTTTTTTTTTTTTTTTTTTTTTTTTTAGCAAAGACCTAAATACTTTTTTTGATTTTTCTTTTTTTTTTTTTTTTTTTTATAGCACAAAAAATTAATAAATGCACAGGTAATCAAGTACCACCAAAATAAAGCTCAATCAGTGGGGAAAAAAGATGTAAATTTCATTTTGGTACAGCGTTGCGTGACCACGCAATTGTCAGTTAAAGTAACGCAGCGCCGTAATGCAAAAAATGGCCAGGTCAGGAAGGGGGATAAATCCTCAGGAGGGCAAGTGGTTAATTATATAAATGGAAAAAGACCAAAAAGTTTTGGGAAAAAATTTTTTTTTTTTCTTTTTGTTATAAAAGCTATAAATACAACAAATTAAAAAAATCAAGTTTCTTATAAATTTAAGCCATAATGTATGTCTTTGGTAAAAGAAAAAAAAAAAGAAAAACCATGAAGTGATATTGGTTTGTGCAAAAATTATAGCTTCATATGCTGGAGTTTACGCAGCCATGACACTATACTGGTTATGGTGGTGATCAGCAGTCTGGCGCTAGCTGACAATGGTTGGGAGGTACACTAATTGGCACTGATATAAATATTGATACTAACACAGTGATCAGTGCTAATACTGCAGACTGTAACCACACTAATGACACTGGCTGGGAAGAGGTTAACATCTAGGCGCAATCAGGGGTTAATTGTGTGCCTAACAATGTTTAATATGTGCTGCTTTTTTCTTTACTATATGGCTGTTTTCACTCCCTGCAAAGCAGGGAGAAAAAAAACATCCAGATCGCTGTTCCCCATACAGAGTTCTGTTTTTTTTTTTATATAAACACAGAACTGTGTGATTGGAAACAGTCAAAATCATTGGCTGAAATAGGCTGCCGAGCATGTGCGCACCCCAAAACCTGAGAGCCGATCAAGTATCTCAGGCTGCAGTGGGGACACAGACAAGGATGGAGGGACAGGGAACAGCAGGTTCAACCAGGTATTTTTGCAGAATGCAGAAAATTAATCCCCTAGTGACTGAGTATGAATATCATGTAATATATGCTACTGACAGTTTTAAAATTTTATACCGGGTTGATATTTTGAGATCCCCATCACCCCCCCCCCCCCCAATTCTAGCTTTAGGTGTATGGTCCTTCAAGCAGGTATTTGAGCTGCAGGAAGTCCCCTGTTCTTTTGCTCTTTCTTGCGCTTGGTTAACTTTTGTTTGCTATGTTCCCCACCCCTCAGTTGGACTGCTTTGGATGTCCAAAAGGTTAAAGACTTCTGTGTTCCTGAATGGATGAAATAGAAAATAGGTTTTGGTACTCGACATAAAATTATTTTCTGAGATTCTTCTTAGGGATACAGTGTTTGTGATCATAATGACTTTATACTGCTATGCTACAAATCTGAGGCATGCTGGGAGCAGTTATCCTGGGCTGGGCCACAGCTGTTTTGTTTGTCAGTGTCCAGTCCTTCTCTAGGCAGCAGTATAAACTCAAGGTTAGACTTCCTGTGTCCCACAGTGCACTCCAAGAAAAGGATTTTACAGTTATTGCAAAACCCTACCTTTTTTCAGATTTCATTAAAAAAATTCACAGCTGCTTGTAGGATTGAAGCTTACGTTTTTTTTTTTTTTTAAACTGGAATACTCTTTGCATTATTGTATGTTTCATTATAGATTTATTTATTCCTTTCTTGTTGTGCCAGAATGGAGTTATGTCCGGTCTCATGCAAATCCTCCTTTTGAAAGTGTCTGCGCACATCACAGAACAGCTGGGAATGGCCCCAGGTGGTGAATTCAGAGAGGCCTTCAAAGAGGTGAGACATTTAGTGACTTTATAGCTTTATAACAGTAAACAGATGGAGGGCTATAGTCCCCTTCTCTTGATGGCAATAGACTAAATGAATAAAAACAAGTAAGAAACCTATACGTCACTATACCTCTTCATTGCCCTCCATAAGCAGTATTTCTTTACTTTGTTCCCTGATTGGAAGGCAGTAAATGGAATTTTTGTTCATAAATTGTTAGGATTAACAAACCGGATCACTAAAATAGTCCATTATCCCTGTCGCTCTGTATACAGGAAGACATCAGGTGCAATTTATTTATTTTGTGGTGCTACTTAATTCCATAGATTCACTCGGGCAACCTGAAACTGAGTTTGGACGTTTTCATTCCCAACAAGATCATGCGCAGGTTCATTCAACTTTCCCCTCATAATCCTGGTAATCTTGGTGTTTGTCTCTGAAGCCCAGGGGCAGCACAGTGGCATAGTACAGAAGTTTGCACTCCTGCCTTGCTGGCTGAGATGGATTTTAACCTCCCTAGCGGTATTCCTGAGTGTAGCTCGGGGTAAAATGTCAGTACCAAAAGCGGTAACCCCGAGCTACACTCGGGCTTACCATACGGCGCTGCATAGGGAGTCCCTGCAGAGCTTACCTTGTCCTGCGCTCCCACGATGTGTCCCCTGCAGCGTCCCCGGCCATCTCCTCCGGCCGATGCCGAAATCTGGCTTCTGTGTTCTGGTCCCTGTGACGTCGGGACGTACGGCCGCTGGCAACGGCGGGAAATTTTAAAAAATGTCATTTTTTTTTCCAAACAAATTTTACATAGTAAAACATTGCTGTTTCAACCCATTTCACATACATTTTGTCCCTAGTGCTTTGTCCTGTGCCCTGCCTGCATTTTGTCTGTTCTTTCTGCCTGGAAACTGAGAAAAGTCCATGGCGTTCAAAAAGTGTCCCTTTTAGGTCAAAAGCGGTTTTAGACCAGCTAGAGAACAGCGATGGTAAATCAGAACCACTTGCAGAATTGAGTGATAATGATTCGTGGGGAAATTCGCCATCAGACACTGAAAACGATTTTGCGACTTTGCTCAGTGATGTGTGAACTTGGCTCTCTATTTCAAATTTCAGTGTTTTTGGTTTGATTATATTATTGAATTAAATGTATTATTATTATATTATATTATTTTTTATGATTATTTATTAAATTATAATTTATGATTTTGTGTTTCAAATTTTATCATACCCGGGATGTTTAATAGACTCTTGTTCGTACAGATTTCAGTGAGTTATTCCTAAAAATTACAGGCCTACAATAAAAAAACTACATATTTCCATGCAAAATAATGGTACCGCTTTCAGCACCAAAAATCTGAACTAATCATACCGCTAGGGAGGTTAATGAGTGTTTACATCCATTTTAAAGCTGATTTCCAATCAGCTTAAAAAAACAAACTGTTTGTCCTGCACCCTCACCATCCCACCTTGTGTTGGTCCTGCATTGTATGATGTTGGAGAGGCCAGTATTGGATGTTGGAGTGGCTTTGTTGGACAGGTTGCACAGCAGGGAAGATGAGTGAGGAACAAGGTTGAGTAATTTAATCTTTTTCTTACCCCTAGATTAAACCAGCAGGTGTCCCTTGCTGTGCAAAGGGATTGGGGTGGGGAGCAAGTGGAGAGTGAATTTTGAACATGGATTGGAGTTCATCCTTAAATTTCAAGATAAATTGCCTGTTTTATGACTGTCTGACTGCACTGCAATGACTGGAATTGACAGACTCCACAGCCTGTGACCCTTGCTTTTGGTGGCATGCTCATTTTTCAGTGTTCGTTTTTTTTTTTCTCTTTTGTCTCCCATTCTATTTTTTCCCCATGTGGAGATTAGTAGGCATTATAAAGAGGCATTACCACTGTTTTTTTTCCCTCTTTAGAAATCCCCTTACGTTTTACAGTTTACCTTCAAGGTGGCACAATTTCACTGTTTAACTTACAGGGTACAGTAGTTTCACGGAGTTACCTATTAAGTGTGTGGTGTGTGTTTTTTTTTTTTGCCCTGGCCGTTTGCATAGCACTGCAGCTTGATGGAGCTATCAGAAAAATGTGAAGCTACACTGGTTTACAACATGCTGCAGCCACATGGGTTTACCCACAAATGATAGAGCATCATATTCTAGCTACATGTTTTTTCTGCTTGGTGGGTTCACCGCCACAATGAGGACTGGGCCCTAGAGCACTATACAAGGCACCACTGTTCCACTGTTTGAATTGTAGAGTTACTCTATTGTTGCTTTCTCATTAGCTTTTGGATTAAGCTTGTTTGTGTTTGGTTTCCTTTCACCTTTCGTCTATGTGTGAACATGATTGCTAATTTTATGTCTTCTTTTTGTTTAGAAAGGGAGGAATACTGGATTATAGAAAATTGTGTCAGTGCACATATCTGCATATGTTCTCTATCCACATTGATGTTTGAAACCATATGCTCAATATATGGCAATATAAAATATTTATTAGGTTTACATTTTATGAGCTGTTTACTGAGAATTTCTAAAGATTCCGTTTATTTCCACACATTTGTGTGTTTTTTTTGTTTGTTTTTTAATTTTTTTTACTTTGCAATGATATACCATATATCATATTGTCACAAAAAATGACATCTTACAGGCCAGCAAAGTGCCTTTTTGCAAGTTTCACCTTGGAGATAGACCTATTCCTGTAACATTCAAGAGAGCGATTGCTGCACTTTCATTCTGGCAAAAGGTGAAGCTTGCCTGGGGCTTGTGCTCCTTGTCTGATCCTATAAGGTAAGGTATCTTTGTGTGCAAGATTGGCCAGTTAAAGGACTGACCTTTGCAATTTTCTAATCTAAGAAATTGTACAAATTTGTTTTTTGTTTTTTTTTTCTCTACTTAAGTGAAGATGATGTGGAGAAATGTAAGCAGAAGGATCTATTGGAACAGATGATGGCAGAAATGATTGGCGAATTTCCTGACCTCCATCGCACTATAGTCTCTGAGAGAGATATTTATCTAACCTACATGCTGAAGCAAGCAGCTAAAAAAACAGAACTACCTCGTGCCTCTGAGAGTATGACCTTTTTTTATATATATGTGTATATATATATATAGTTTTTTTTTTTTTTTTCTATCAGTACCATGTGCACTATTGAGTGGTTTCTTCTGTGTTTTTTCTTTTTTTATAAAAGAAAGAAATGCCATAGCAATGTATGAGTAAATGATAAAGTTATATTACCTTTCCTCTGTTTGACATAAGGATTCTGGAAGTGGAGTAACATGTAAATGTAATTTTTTATTTTTTCCCTTTCACAGATGAGCCTCAAAAAAGCATGCCAACCATTGTCGTTGGAGTGGTCGGGATGGGACATGTACCTGGTATAGAGAAGAACTGGAGTACTAACGTAAATATTCACGAAATCATGAGGTAAACATGTCTCTTCTAAAGTGTAGGCGCACTTTCTTGTGGCATTTTTGATTCTTTCATCACAACTCAAGTCAAACAAGTTACCTTTTATGATCATCCTGCTACCAGATCGCTGCAGTTAACTGTAGAAACCATAGCTTTGCTGATGCAAGAAACTGCAGGACGGCATTTCTTGCAGACTCTAGCTCTCATACAATGAAGGGATCCTCTTGTTCAGCCTCCTATTCTTCTCCACTTGTCCATTCACAATAAATCCTTGTGTTGTCCACAAAATACTAGATGTTCTATGAATGAATAAGGGTAGATTTTGCTATTTAGCTGCTGCTCCATCCACTTGTCAATGCACCGAACAGTTTGTAATACAAGACATTTTGAGATGATCAAAGGGAGGGTGAATGTTCCAGGTTCATAAAATAGGATGTAAATAAAAGAATAAAGTTCTCTTATAAAGCATCACAATTGTAATAAGTTTCCTATCCCATAGAAGTTTTGCATTATGTCTTGTGAATAACGCTAGTCAGGGGAAGGGCTAAATCAGTCTTGTTCAGCACGGGTATCTGACACAGTATCTCAAAACTACAGATATAAACATCCTATTTAAAGTCTAGGCCTGGCCAGTTGTCTGCAAAAAAACACAGGGAAAAGGTCCTCGCGCCTTTTCAGAACCGCAGCGGCAGGGAAACTGCATGGTGCTGCTGCACCATGCAGTTTTATGCACCCGAAAACGTATTGCTTTTTCAGATATGTGGGGGTGACAGCCCTGCGCATCTGCTAAAGAGCAGCACATTTTTCTTGCGGGTTTGAGAACACGTGATTTACATGCATTCCCGCACCTGCAAAAGTGTAAAACTAGCCTGAGGGTTAATCACTACTAAAGGGATGCAGACACTATAATTTTTCTCATCAGCTGAAAAAGTGTACCAGCTTTTTAAAGCGGGTAAAATAAGTATTGAACACGCCACCATTTTTTCTTGGTAAATATATTTCTAAAGGTGCTATTGACATGAAATTTTCACCACATGTTGGTAACAACCCATGCAATCCATACATACAAAGAAACCAAAACAAATAAGTTCAGATATTAAGTTATGTGTAATAAAATAGAATGAGAGAAGGAAAAAGAATTGAACACATGAAGAAAGGGAGGTGCAAAAAAGCATGGAAAGCCATGGCACCTGCTGAAATCAATCAGTCATTAGAAAGCAAGCCTGCCCCTTGTCAGTACAAATTAATACCACCTGGTTCAGTCTTGACAATGTAGAGAACATTTCATGCCAATAGCACCTTTAAAAATATTTTTTACTGAGAAAAATTTATTTCACTTGCTGTATATTGAATTAGTCCGAATCAGAATCACTATTCAAAAGACAGTGTAACAAACAGCTTTTTCTACAGAGGAGAGACGGGAATCTGCAACAAAGTAGAAGACTGTATATGGATTATCCAGAGAGGCTATTTCTTTTTTTTGCTTTCCCTCAACAAAAGTGGAGTTACTATTTTTAAAGGATGTTTTTATATAGCTTAAAAAGGGATTGAGGCCCAATTTTTGTCAAGCATACATTTCTTTCTAACCAAAATGTTTGTGTCAAAACATTTCTCCCTATGCATTTGAGCTCTATTCATGGTAACATTGTTACCATAGTAGCCTCAAAACCCTAATGTGGATGGGTGGGATGTATTTCTTATTGTAGGTTGGAAGCCCTTTCCCTGTCTGTTCTGTAAAGCTAATCTTTTTTGTAAAACATGAACTTGTGTTTTATAGATCAATTTAATAGATACAATCCTATAACTTTTTTTTTTTTTTTCTTTCTCTTTTTTTACAGTGTGCCTCCTCCTTCAAAACTGAGTAGAATTATTACTTTTGCAGCAAAAGTGACATTTTTTGGACTAGTAAGTTATGGTTGTTTTTGTGTAAGTAGAAGAACTGCCCGGTTTATTCTTTCAGTGCCAGCCACAAAGTATTGCCTTCAAAGACTGAACCAAATGAGAATGTGGAATTTTTAAATTGAACCATCTTATTTATATACTACAGAGCTATTCATTAACTATCTCTTTATTCATTACTGGTCACATTCAGCTGTCCAGAACCTGTTTTGGAAATACCTGTTTGAAGTGAGAGCATCATAAAAGTCAACTTTGTGTACATCAGATGGCAGCTACTGCAGGTTCTGAGGAAACCATACTTGGGCTGTGACAATAGGGATTTCGAATGAAAACAGGCTATTCCAGCAGAGTGGATAATGTAACTTTAGAAGCCATTGATAAAATATTGTGGGGAAGAGTGGAGGGAGAGGACTCAATGTATCAATGACACTTAAAAAGAGAAAAAAAAAATGGAAATCATTCATTAAACGTCATCTGTGACAAAATGTGTAACTCATGACAAAACGTAAGTTTTGAATAAGATCAGAAGGAGTTTGAACCTCCCATATATTATATATATTTTTTTTTTTAAACTGTCTGTGTGCCTGTTGGAGAAATTTCACCTCCCTTGTCTCTTGATGATAAAAAAAAGACAGTAGCTAACCCTTCTCCACTTTTTATCCAGAACTTAAAAGAATGGTTGGCGTTACCATTTAACAAAAGCCACTGGACTTGAAATGGGCCTCCTTTATGAGGAAAGGGCCCAGATGCAAGATGACTGCTGGCCGGCTGTTTATTCAGACTGTACACCTTGTGCTGGCGGTATCCAGGCTTAAGATTGGACATTTATCAAAGTGTCTAAGAAATAGCTGTTGCTCACACCAACCAAGTCAGCAATTTACAAGAGCCACTAAAAAGAAGACAGACATAATAAAAAAGGGTTAGATTCCACTATTATAGAATCATGGCATTTCAAAATATGCCTTATATTTTGGTTTGTATTCATGTCCTATGAAATTACAGCTTGCATCACATTGTTATATTCACCTTCCTAACTCATTTTCTGTAACACCCTTGTTTAGAATTTTTTTTTTCTTGTATATTGTTTTGCCTTCTGTATTTCACCCAGCAAACACAACTTTTTTGTATGATGAATTATTAGCATTTCCTAACTGATTTAGAGGAACAAAAAAATTCCTTTTTAAAGTTCTGCTGTTCATGTTTTATTTGCACACAAATCTGTCTATATTAGTGGACACGCACAGCCTAAACTAAATTCTTTTTGGGTAGTTGGTAATTTTACATGAATATCTCTCTTGTAACGGACCATGGGTTCGGATGAAAACCGGAAGCCTGGTGTATATTGATTGCACTTTTTACTTTTATGAACATGTCATTTAAAATTTACACTTTAGCTAAATCAGCAAGGCACATGTCAGCATTAACAAATCACAATTTCACATACACTCTCTGGTAAAAATCTATCTGCAATGCACAAACACTGAGCAGCACTACGAAACTGAATGCAGAGCCTGCATATTCAATGAGCAGACAACAATTGACTGCATATACTTTATAAATCCAAACTATACATAGAAACAAACATTTTAGCACATTGATAAGTTTATTTATCTTTTTTTTTCAACTGCATATCTAACCTTTTTAAGTCTATAATTTCTCTTTTAAATAGAGGTACATCCATGATCCTAAATGGTGCAGTGAATGTTGTATTCTTTTTGGTGGCTGCTTGAGTAAACCTATTTGCTGAATGATATAGGTACTTTGTTGTGTTCATTTTTTTTATCTTACAATCTAATTTTTTATTCCTGATTGGGTTCTACAAACGTGCACAAGGTTCCTAATCTAACTTTGTAAATGACGCCAACCTGTAGTCCATAGACATTGTATAGCTCTGAATGTCCATAGCAGAGCTACCCTCTATGCTTGCTTGGATCCCTTCCCAAGAGTAATGGTAGTATTTAACTTATGTGGACTTGCTGAAAGTGTATGCAAGATTAAAATCCCATTAAAAGGCCATTATCCTAAATCCTGGCTCAGTTTGTCAAGTAGTTAATGATAACCTCTCAACTCTGTTTGTGTTTCTGCTTTAGGCAAGGCAATTTCCCACCTCCAATATCAATACAGTGGGTCTTATTAACCCACAAGTTAAAGGAAGCCGATTGGCTGTTATTGGTAGCCTTAACTTGGATAGTTCTTCCTTATGACTCATTGGTGAACGAGAGTTCTTCACATGCATTGGAATTTTATCATACATATTTTTAAATGTGGTTCGTATCCCTTTCATATGCAATAGGTTTTCCTGTCCCTCCGCTGCTAACCTGGATATGTACAGAAATTATTATTATACAGGATTTATATAGCGCCAACAGTTTGCTCAGCGCTTTACAATATAACGGGAGACAATACAGCAACAATACAGTTTAATACAAGAGGGATAGGAGGGCCCTGCTCCTCGGAAATGTCCATAGGTGGTTCTATTTAAATCCTGTACACAATTTAAAGAGAAGGTGAAGTTTACTCATGTTTAAAAGGAAGTGAGAAATATGTGCAATGCTCTCACAGATCCTCTGAAAATTCAAGTTGTCTGATTGTCACACAGATCCAACCTAAATCAAGTATGCTGCCAGTGAAATGAGAACTACCGACTCATACCTTTTCAGGTTTAGTGATTGAATATTGAAGAAATGATTTTAAGGAGAACGGCAGGCAACTTTTTTTTTTTTTTTTTTTTTTTTTTTTTTTCCCCTCATGGCAGATTTCTGTTCATTTAAATTCTGTTGGCAGGTTTCAGGTTTTTATAATATCTGCTCTTCTATTATTATGCAACCTTCTCCCCAGCAATTCTTAATTTGCTTTAAAGGTTCTCAGTTATCCAAATTGTTGCTTTAGAAGCAATAAGCAAGTATGGGAAAAAAACAGAGTAAAGAATAAAAACAAATTACATTTTACACTAAGTTTGAGTTCTTTGTTTAAAGAAAAAAAAAACTTAGAACAATGCTCAGCTATGGCAGTAACAATTTACTTATTACTGTCTTTTATTGCTAGTATATGCTTTTCTTGCTACTTTATACTTTTTAGATTCTGTAAATTTTATTAAAAAGCAGAAAAGATAACATTGATACTGTAAACTTTTTGTAACTGTTCCTAACCAACGAATACTATGTAAATGTCTTCTGTGCATGGAATAATGTTGCATTTTGTATTTTCTCTAACCTGCCTCTGTTGCATACCAAATATTTTAAAATGTACATTTTCAGCTATTCGTAACTGTTTTGGAATAATTAACTTTTTGACATCAGTTTTGTGTCTCAGGAATTTTACATTGTCTTATTTTAAGGGGTGCCTTGTCTTCCTTTTGTTGTGTTTAATATATAAAGTGTCTTTTTGTGTCTATTCATTTATGTAAAGACTATTTAAAGTGAACCGATCAGGTGATTGAACCAACAATAGTGTCAAATTGCAGTGTTGATAATATAATTTCACTGTCATATATTTGCTCAACATCTCATTGGTTTACTGGAAACCCGCTTTAAAGGTACTTGCTTGTACATCATAACCTGAATGCCCAATGGGTTATCAGGAACCGTTTTATAGGGTACTTTAAGTACATCAGGGCCTAATGCTCATTGGTTTATCAAGAATCATTTTTTATAGGTACTTGATAGGTGCTTCATGACCCAAATGCTCTGTTTTTAATACAGGGCCAAGGTAAGCCAGCCTTTTAAGTGGTTCTAAAGTCTGAAGGCTTTTTTGTTTTTTACCTACATGCATTCTATGCCTGAAGGTAAAAAACCTTCAGTGTGCAGCAACCCCCAAAGCCCCTTAATACTTGCCTGAGCCTAATATTGGCCCAGCAATTTGTGCACGGGAGCCTCGGCTCTCCGGGGTCTCTCTCCCATTGGCTCCCGCTGCTGTCAACAGCACCAGTGCCTCCATAGCAAGCGGCGTGCTATGGGGGCATTGCTCAGTTGGGAGGAGCCAGAAGCGCAGGCAGGGGATCCAAGAAGAGAGGAGTGGGGCTGCTCTGTGCAAAACTATTGATGTGTGTTTTTTTTTTTTTTTTAAATAAACAAAGAGCCTTTAATACCTACTGATATTTCTGTCTCGGGGGTATGGTGGAATGATCTGTAAATGTTTTTTATTCATTCTTGCTAAATTTACTATTACAAAAGTCATTATCCTACACCCACAGTTGATCCAAAGGAAGGCAAAAAAACCCAGCAAAGCATTAACCAATTTGCTCCTGCAGGGGAAAAAAAAAAATTCCTTCCTGATCCCCCCAGAGGCAATCTGATATTACCTGGATCAGCTTTACCTATAAATGTTAGTATCCAATTATATTCTGTGTATCCAAGAAAGAATCCAGGCCTTTTTTTTTTAAAAAGCAATCCACTGAGCTGGCCAGAACCAACTCTTGAGGGAGTCTATTCCACATTTTCACAGCTCTCACTGTGAAGAAACCTTTCTGTGTTTGAAGATTAAATTTCTTTTCCTCCAGACGTAAAGAGTTCCCCCTTATCCTCTGTGATGACCTCAGGGTGAATAACGCTACACTGAGTTCACTATATGAACCACTGATGTATTTATACATGTTGATCATATCTCCCCCTTAATCTACTCTTCTCGAGAGAATAAATTCAGTTCCTCTAATCTTTCCTCATAGCTGAGCTCCTCCATGCCTCGTATCAGTTTAGATGCCCTTCTCTGTACTTTCTCCAGTTCCCCAATGCTCTTTTTGTGAATTGGTGCCCAAAACTGAACTGCATATTGCAGATGAGGTGTTACTAATGATTTGTACAGGGGTAAAATGATCTCTATCGCTCAGATTTTGCTCACGTTTGAAACCGCAGCTTGGCATTGCATGCCATTATTAAGCTTGTGATCTACCAGAACCCCCAAATACTTCCTCCAGTTGTACCCCCCTAGTATGTATGATGCATGCATATTCTTAGCACCCAAGTGCATAACCTTACATTTATCAACATTAAACCTTATTTGCGCATAATTGCTCAATTAAACAGTGCATTGAGGTCGACTTGTAAGTTGGAGACATCCTGTAAAGACGTTATTCCACTGCACAGCTTGGTGTCTTCTGCAAAGGCTGAAATGGGATTTTTAAT